CGTAAAAACGTACCAGATATTACGCCGTAGAATATTACAACATATCAACTCCATAACTAATATACATATGGACACTCCAGTGGCTAGACACGTACGACAAAATCATGCAGCCAAACCTAGTGTACTCAAATTTCAAGTGACCCAAAAATTATCTCTAAACCATCGTAAAGGAGATATCAATATATCGTTACTTAAGGCTGAATCCCGTTGGATTTATCAGTTTAGAACCTTAGAGCCTAAAGGACGAAATGAGGAGTTTAATTTTACTCCATTCATTCATTCCTCGAATGGCTGTATAGAGTCTTTTTATTATCTGACCTGTCATCACCATCACTAGTATTTTTTAAGATGTTATTCTATGAGACAAAATGGGGCCAGTTCTTTAGGTCTATTGGGGACCATATTAGAACTGCATATAGACTGTTTTCCCTTCATTATAATATCTGGCCACCAGCAAGAATAAGAACATCGAGTTTGACAACGGTTGGTCTTTTTTTAGTACATTTGTTTTCAGTATTTCTGATTTATCTCAGGTTTTTCCATGAAGGCAGTTTCCAACAATAACATATGTATATACACTTATTATTTATTACGTTCATTACTAGACCAATAAATACACTATTCTCCTAAGGGATCCATTTTAAGATTGTAGGAACAAGTATCAGTACAAAATTGTTCCCCATTAATATAATAAACAGGATAATACTATTCTGACATTGGTTGTCTCAAGCCATCTGTATATTCCTTCCCTTACTGCAAGGTAGCTTCACCACTGATATCAGGAGGGTATTAGATACAAATCTGTTGCAATGTCTCAGTGCATACAGTTAGCTACAGGCAGTGGCATACACACTATCCATGGGGCGAAAAGTGATCCGTGGGCCCCGACCCCCGCACTTACTCCGTGCGGGCCAGGACCACAACACATGGCGGCAGGCACCTGGTTGCGACCCCTGTGACCACGGTATGTATGCCACTGCATGCAGATAAATACACTTAAAGGACCACTATGGGCACTCAGATCACTTCCGCTCAATGAAGTTGTCTGGGTGCCAGGTCCTTCTAGTTTTAATCCTGCAGCTGAAAACATAGCAGTTTCAGAGAAAGTGCTATGTTTCACTGAGGGTTAATCCAGCCTCTAGTAACTGTCTATCGGCCGCTTCCATGGTCCTCACTGTGAAAATCACAGTGAGAAGGCTCTGGACGTCCATAGGAAAGCATTGAGTAATGCTTTCCTATGAGCAGTTTGAATGTGCGTGCGGCTCTTGCCGCACATGCGCATTCGGAGCTGAGAGGCGGATCGGGGCGGAGAGATCCCCAGCGCCAAGGGAGCGAACAGACGCATACACACCAGCTAACAGACACACATTTACTGACAGACA